CCCTAACCCTAACCCTAAACCCTATCCCTAACCCTAATGACTCCCTAACCCTATTCCTTATGGCGACCTAATCTTACCCCTAACCCTTATCTTACACCTAACCCTAACGGCAACCTAACCCCAACCCTAGGCCTTTCCGTAACACTAACTCTAATTACGTCCTAACCCTAACCATAATCGTTACTCTAACCCTAATGGCGCCCTAACCCTAACCCTAACCCTAATCTTATCCTTAACCCTAACCTTATCCCTAACCCTTACCCTAATGGCGCCCCAATCTATCTTCTTAGGCCTGTTCTTCATCAAACTTAGCTGCTTGTCAGAGGCTGTGTAAGGCCGATGCCTCCCAGATCTCCCCTTTCTCAGTTTTGCAACAGCACCTGAAAGAATTTTTTGAGAGCTGTATCAATTAAAGTTTAGACAAATTTCAAAAACAGCGTACTTAGACTAGTTTCACAGAAGGCTAAAACAACACAGCAGTTACAATTATTGATTAAAAGATTAGGCTAATTTCAGTACCGATATTTAAGGGATATGACTAAATACTACAAAATAAACAGTTAAGGAAAACACGGAGTAGCACACTTACTTAATGTGGTACTAACATTCAGATCCGCAATCGCTGGGGAACCCTGGATGCAGTGAGAATTCAGTGCCCTTTCTCGCAAACCAGAAATCCTACACTTCAACCCAATCTACCTGCCACCCCACAAGAACCAGTTCATCTCCAATTAGGGACAAGAACTTAATATGTTTAGTCCTCACAGCTCCACGGGCAAACATCCAGAGCCAGTGACACCTGTTACAACCAACCAGCCTTTTCTTGAGGAAACTGGTACCTGCTGAAGACAAAAGCATTTGTGAGAAATGGGAATGTCCCTCCTGCATTCACCAACAGTGCCTCAAAAAATTTTTCCTCAGGTCAGTAAATCTCACCCTAAAGACTAACTGGAAAATACTTCACACAGTGGCCAGAAGAAGTGTAAAACATTTCAGCCAAGGAAATAGTTTTTATTATTATTTGCCTATTACTCACATGATTGAACACATGCAGTCCAAGCTACCCAACCAACTGGCATATTGCTAAAGTCCTCTTCAAGGAAAAGCAATTACCTTTTCTTTAAAGATGCATAGGCTCATCCAATTGGATGTAAGGATGCGATTTAAATGCTTTGGCCTCAGATCTACAAAACTTATGCACAATCAGAAACGGCAAGAAACTGTTTTTTGAGCATTCTGTAAATGTCTTGAAATGGAGCATTTGGGGAGTACAAGCATCCTGCTTACTTTACAAGACGCTCATTTTAACGCAGTGAATAACGTATGGGGAAAAGGGCAGTTCCAAGTGGAAATACGGCATGCTATCTAAGGTTAAAAATAGCTCATTAGTGACCAGTAAAACACTTTAAACTTTTAGATAAATGCCAAGGCACCTTCAGAAATTTTGCTTGTGAAAGTGAAAACACAAATCTTACTGATCTGCATGCATATCTTAGCAATCAAAAGTGAATCTATCAGCCAGCACAGAAAATGGACAAATATGAAGAACGTGTGTTTCAGTCTTTATACGGTATTCTCTGTTCTGCCTTCAAACACAGGACTGCTGGATTAGTGGTCCTAAAGACAATATGGAGTAGTATGGTTGTCCAAATTTCTCATTATTGCAGATTACTGTTTGTGATCCTAACTTCACTACTGAAAGAAAACTATGGGAGTGAGTCAACATTACCCTGAAAGCCTATAGGACACATCACGGATGTTTGTGCCTCTAGTCATCTAGCTGGCCATTGTGGGTCAGACAAATACAGTAGAAAATAAAAATCAATTGTACACATAAAGTGCACATTATTGATGAGTAGGAATGAAAAGGTCTTGATTGTCAGAGAATATTTCCATGATTGAATGATTTCTGTGGCATTTGACCCCAAGATAAGAAAACATAATATAGTACTTAAAGTTTGGGGGATGTTTGCATGATGAAAAGCCAGTTTGGTAGATTCTAGACCTGGAAGAAAACCAAGCATTATCTCCTTAATGTCACTAAGTATTTTGTTACTAAACATTGCATGTTGTCGAGTTGTTATTTGACTGAAATACCATTTTAAATGAGATAATGCATCCCAGAATATTATGTGCAGATTATTAAATGTTTGTCTTAACATTTACCTTTTAGAGAACAAGTAGATCCCCAGCCACCCTAGTTCAGTCTCACTGATGACTTAGGATTTTCAAAGCTTCAGCATCTTTGCAAGATGTGGGGAGGCCTGTGGACCACTTCAACAGACTTTCACCAATAGCAGAAAAAATGTTTAGAAACCTAATTTAAGTACTCGATAGAAGAGAAATATGTCTAGAAACCTGCTTTAAGTACTTAGTAGAAATGGCTGGCTGTAGACGGATAGCTTGCGAAACTGATCGAAAGTTCCCAGGCAAGCTGTCATTTAACTATGAAATCGGACATGACCTATTGACAGATCCTCAGCACCAAAATTAAAAGATGATTAGATTTTTAGAATTCGCAGCCAAGGAAGTTTATTTATCCTATACAGGACACTTGGATCAGCGATACACTTTTGCAGAGCGCTGAGAACCATGTAAAAGAGAATTACAGTGCTAGAAATATTTCTTAACTCGTATTGATCCTAGCAGTGGACTTACACATTAATACTAGGCATGCCTAACAAGGCCATATACTTGGCCATTGCGCTGCTAATGCTGACTCCAGGACAATCTTTGTAGACAAAACGAGCATATTCCTTTTCCCATCTTTCCTTTTCTACAACAAGGTCTCTTTCCCTCCCCTCTCCCCAACATTTTTTTGCGGGCACTTACTGAAGTTTAGAGTGTTTGAAAGCGTATTCCCCAGCCTAACATCAGTCCCCAAAATGCACTGTAGCAGTCTGATCAGCTCAAAAATTTCGAGTAGATTTTAAGCTCTCTCAAATAGTTTTCACACATCAGCTCAGCTTGCAAGCCACAATCTATGTCTGTGTGGCAGGCAGACTTTTTAAAGATAGCATTTACTCTTAGAATCTTTATGTAAGCAAAGGAAGAAATTATTTATGATGAAACTAGTAAGACACTGGAACAGGTTGCCGGAGAAGGTGTGAATGTCCCATCATTGGAAGTGTTGAAACTCAGGTTGGATGGGTTTAAGGTCCCTTCCAACCCCAACCATTCTATGATTCTATGTACATTTAGCCTGTAAAACTTCTGCCACCACTCTTTCATCTTCTCTTTCACATTAACCTTATATTTTTTAAACTCAGTGAAGGGTAATTTAGGATAGGGAGTATTCATTCTGTTCCAGTGACTCCATCTTTATCCTCCTTTAGGGAGACACAGAGGTTGGTACGTTTGTGCAATACAGGTGCAACCATGGGTTCCATTTCTAATTCTGCCACATTCTGACATGGAGAGGATGTATGGTGTATAGCTTTACTGAATCCTTTACTGTAAGCAAGCAGGTTCTTCAGTAGAATAAACCCATTTATTCACTTGAGTTACAGGGCAACTCTGCTGGGACGATCCATCTGATGTAAAGAAAGGAATATGAAAGGGAGAAATTGAAAAGAAAAAGTTAACAACAGGAGGCTGTTACCCATGAACAATTACAGGAATTAATATGTGTGGCCCTTGCATAACTAAACACCTAGAAAATCACTGTTCTTTGAGACTAGGCAGTTTGTGCACTCTTTTATGTCACTGTTGAGACGGACATGACAAACACCGAATTGTGTAAAATGGCTACTTTATTGTTCTAACAAGCCTTTTTATAACTTTATTAAGAGTATGTGTCCATATATGATCGGTTAGAGACTAACAGTTCATGATTGGATGACCTTTCTCTGTTACAACCTTGATAACCTTCCTTTCCTTGCGGTCAGGCAGTTCCGGTCTGGTAGTTCCTTACTCTTGTTTACTCAGCTCTTCTTGGGACTTTCAAGTCTCTTAAGGGTGTACGGGTATCTGCTCAAGGTCAATATCAAACTTACATTCCGATCCCTTGGACCAGCCGAGGTCTCCCATACTTTTATACCAGAAAATATGTCAGCCTGTTCTAGGTATTCTTCCTGCTGAGGTAATGCAGAGGGGTAGCTGAAGGCCTGGGATAAAAAGAGCATTTGTGTCACCTGGTCTGTTTTTACAGGCTATACACAGGTATCACTACTGAGAAGAATGACCAAGATACTTAGACTGTAATGATAATGATCTGCCCCTAAAAAGAAATACTGATTTATATGGATAGGGAAAATGGTGTAAAAACAGTTCCCACATTCAGTGGTGTTTTAAAGAAGTCAGTATGACAAGTAAGATGGCCTAAGGAGAATAAATGAGAGGTGCAGAACCGTGGACTATAAGAACAGATGCTATCTATGAAGAGGGAGGGAGTTTGGAGTGGCCAAAAGTACTACCATTGGATTTTTACATCAGGAGCATGGTGCTAAGCCATTCCAGGAGAACAGATTCTCTGCAGAAATTTATGACGATAGTATCTGGGAGGATTTATCTTCTTTGCCTTTGCACAGGCAAGCTGAGTGTTTGCTGCTACTGAGATACGTAAACTAAAAGTTAGTCTGAAAGTTCTCTTTTATTCTGTTTGTCTGAGGCTGATATTGTTCTTAAAACTTGGAAAGTGCTGGGGAGGCAAAAGGGAAGATAATCTGAAGGAATTTAGAGCTGCAGATTTTTCATTTCTAGCTTTTTAAACTGAGATTCTTTCACTGGTCGTAGTTAAATTATGCTTGGAGCAGTAGCAGACTCAACAACAGATTGATTTTCTCCTCCCTCCATCCCCAGCAAATATAAATTCAATGTGCAAAGCTTGTGCTCCATCACTTGCTCCTGTAGCAAAATAAACTGCTTATAATGTGAAATTTACTCACATGGATGGAAGATGGCAGGGGTTGTAACTTTTTATTGGACACCGCACATCTTTAATTTTACACATTTTTGTAACGAAAGGTACGTTTTTTAATTTGCATTTATTTTTAATTTGTTTGTCTTTAAAAAAATGTCTAATTTGTATACTGATAAGCAATATTATTTTCATGTTTAGTAGGCTGCCTTAACATAAAGTTTCCTCTTTGGAAACTTTATTCATCGGTATTGCAGCCGTCAGACTGCAACTTCCATTTGATTTCATAACATTCCTGTTTTACTGGGTGAAAATTAATCCCATGTGAATCGAAAACAGTGTTAAACCACCTTTCTTCTAAAAAAAAAGAAACCCCAGATTATTCTGGTTTTAGTATAACTGGATTCTACTGATTTGTACTGTACATACAATGAAAAGGTAAATCTACAGAGGTATCATTTATCCCCTCACATAAAAAAAGGAAAATATTTTTGTTAGTATATACAGTAAGATAAACACTCAAAAGGAATTTAAAATCTTGTCCACAATGTAGTATCCTGTAATGGAGAAAGAAAGAAACATAGGAAAGAAAGATGTGCAATTACACACATATATTACCAGTTTATCTGTACTCAGATGGTAATCATTTAGGAAAATTCCAGTAGAGAATTTTTGCAGAAATAATTTTTTTTTGCACAGAATCAGTACCAAAGATAGCAACACTTGACACTTAGGCACTCTATTCTGTATTTCAAATGCAGGGGAAACTGGACCAGTTACAGTGACTCTATTTATTTATCATTGACAACTGCAAACAAAAATCAATTGTCTGTGCCAAATTATATGCCTAATTATATTCTTTAATTTAACAGTGCAATTGTAGTGAGATGTTCCCTCTCGAGTTCCTTTATGTAACCAATTTTTGTTACAAAGCAGCAATTGGACATTACCATAACCTCAGCTGCGAAGTGGGGCTTGGAACATCCAAAAAGGAGGACTAGGAAATACTCCTCTACCTTCATAAGTGTCCGAAGTATAAATGTACTGCTCTGGCACTGCTATTGGATGATGGTTCACACAGACCGCATACTGCTCTTAAAATCCTACTACAAGTCAGGCACCTTAGCTTCCACTGATATGATGCAGACTGAGGGTGCTTAATACCTCATAGTGATCTGCTTATCAGGATGTCCTGTACTGATAAATTAGACACGGGCAGATGATGCCCTTCTCCCTTTTGTAGATGAGAGAGACTAATACCTAGATTATCAAGGAGCTAGTGGGTCTTGTTGCCATGGTTACATTGTGAGATATGATAGTTTTTCTCGGTGTCACTTTTTTTGTAATGCATTAACGGAGGACTGCAGCTTTTACGACGTTTTATTTTTTTTTTTCTCTCATACATTTTAGTGTTAAGATGGCAGAATAACCATGGGAGACTGGAATTTCCTTGGAGGCATTTTAGAAGAGGTCCACATTCATTCCACTATTATTGGAAAGATTTGGCTAACGATCCTCTTCGTATTTCGAATGCTTGTTCTCGGAGTGGCAACTGAGGATGTTTGGAATGATGAACAATCAGAATTTATATGCAATACCGAACAACCTGGTTGCAGAAATGTGTGCTATGATGAGGCCTTTCCCATCTCTCTCATAAGATACTGGGTCTTGCAAGTTATATTTGTGTCTTCCCCTTCCTTGGTGTATATGGGTCATGCCTTATACAGACTAAGAGCCTTGGAAAAAGAGAGGCAAAAAAAGAAAGCTCAGGTGAGAGTGGAACTTGAAAGCACCGAATTAGAAATGACTGAAAATCGGAAAAGGCTGGAGAGAGAACTTCGGCAATTGGACCAAAGAAAGCTAAACAAAGCACCCCTGAGAGGCTCTTTGCTCTGCACTTACGTGATACATATTTTCACAAGATCTGCAGTGGAAGTCGGGTTTATGATTGGGCAGTATCTTCTCTATGGCTTTCATCTAGATCCCCTTTATAAGTGTCAGAGAGATCCATGTCCAAACACAGTTGACTGCTTTGTATCTAGACCAACAGAAAAGACAGTGTTTATATTATTCATGCAGTCAATAGCGACTGTATCATTGCTTTTAAATATCCTAGAAATTATCCACCTAGGATTCCGAAAAATTAAAATGGGACTCTGTGGGCAGAATAAAGACAAGAATGACCCTGACAATTTCTACGTGAACAAATCTAAGAAATACTCTGTGATACCGCACTCTTCCTTGGGAATATCCACCACCTCTCAAAAAACTCTTCCTTCTGCACTTAGTAGTTATACCTTTTTAACGGAGAAGCAAACTGACACTGACCTCTACCCAGTTCTAAATTCTCGCATGTTTCAGTCTGTGCAGAATAACATGGAAAGCAGCAGCAATTACACCCATCGCAATCAGGAAAACAAATGGCCAAAGAAGAGGCCAGCTACAAATGCTTTAGACAGTCAGACTCAAAATACTAGCACAAATAATAATGAAGGCTTGCTTGGTGAGCTTGGGACTGAAGCGCATGATGAGGAAAAAGAAACTGAAAAGAAATATTTCCGTGCTGTTACTCAGAATGCAGACAACGCTTTGAGCACATGCTTGAGAATCTTTGCTGAAATGCCATCTCAAACTTCACTGCAACCTGATAGAACTGTTCCTATTATCAGTTTCAGAAGACAACATGGAATCAGTTCATCTTGGAACTGCTCAGCAATGGTTGAGAGTGCAGGAGCCTCAACAAATTCTCTTCCAACAAACAGCAACAGAAGACAAAGCAGTTTCAGTGCAAACAAAGCCCAACCTCCTTACAATGCTGATGTAAAAAATTCTAACCAACCAGACACTCCTGACTCTACAGGGGAGGTGAGCTCAGAATCTAAACAAAGTAGAAACTGTGATAGTCCTAAGCCTTTCTCTCTGTCCAGGCAACTGTCGCTGTCAAGTAATGCCAGCAACAGGCGTGCCCCCACTGATCTTCAAATATAGTGTGAGTTAACCCATTAATTGCTATAGTCAACGCTGGGATAATTATCGAACATTGCGACATAAGCAAGATCTATGTATAGAAGTAGCTGAATCATTCAACTATAACCAGCTGTTTCACTGTTGTGGTTTAACCACAGCCAGCAACTAAGCATCACGCAGCTGCTCACTCACTCCTCCCCCCTCCCAGTGGGATGGAGAGAAAATTCGAAAAAAAAAGTAAAACTCATGGACTGAGATAAGAACAGTTAAATAACTAAAATAAAATAAAATAGAATAATAATGACAACAATAATAAAATATTATAATAATAACTGTAATGAAAAGGAATATAACAAAGGGAGAGAAAAAAAAACAAGAAAAGACAAGTGATGCACAATGCAATTGCTCACCACTCACTGACCGATGCCTGAGCAGTGATCCACTCCTCCCAGTCAACTGCCCCCAGTTTATGTACTGAGCATGACGTTCTATGGCATGGAATATCCCTTTGGCTAGTTCAGGTCAGCTCCCTGTCATGTCCTGGTCATGCTCCCTCCCAGCTTCTTGTACGCCTGCCTACTGGCAGAGCAAAGGAAACTGCAAAACCTTAACTTATGATAAGTGCTACTTAGCAACAATCAAACATCAGCATGTTGATAACGTGTGTTATCCACATTATTCTCACACTAAATCCAAGACACAGCACTGTATCAGCTACTAGGAAGAAAATTAACTCTATCCCAGCTGAAACCATGACATTCAGATAGAAAAGTTGTGTAGCCCTTTGAAACCAGTCCTTTAAACCTTTTAAACAGTCTATTTACTTCCTCTGTAATGAAAGGGTTGTTTTGACCTCAGGGTATAATATTCTACACTACCCTTCCAGCTAAAAAGGAAAATATACACCATATAAGTGCACATATTAGGAAAAGTCAGGCATAAAATCACATCTGATACTATTTAAATTGAATAAAAGTATAAAACAAAATTTACAGTCTAACAATGTATTTTACATTAAGACTAGTAAATGAAATTAGGCTAAAGATGGCGCTGGTGCTCTCAGGAGAAATGATCAGTAAATATGTTTCTGCTTAATCTCCTTGAGAATTCAAACAGATGCTTGATGGCTGTCTAAAAGCAGAATGTCAAACACATTCCGCTATTTGAACTGTTAAATGCAAAAAGAACAAAACAATTGACACACGTATCACTAATTCTTTGACTCCACAGTACACTTTTTTTCAGTGTATCACCACTGACTTCCTCCACAGAAAACTGAGTGAATCTCTTATTTACCAGTAAATACTCTATTACATTTGTAAAGAATCATGAATTACAAGCTTTAATTTTGCATAACACTAATAATTTAGCAGTTTATTGTTTTTTAAATCAGAAAACAAGTTACTGAAATTTATTAATCATAAATTTTGTATTTCACAAACCATGAAGAAGGCATGAAAAAATGGGGAAAAAAATAAAGGTAGTACCTTCCTACTTTCAGCTACAGTGTCAAAAAACATAAGAGGTCTATCAAACTGTAAAACTATTCCTTTTTTGGATACTATGGGGTTCACCTGTCCCCAAAGTTCAGACAAACTTTTAAGCTAAAAGATGCTTACAATTGTTTAGAAGGAGTATTTCCATTTGTGCTTTTTATGGGGGTAATAAAACAAAGGATATTCATCCACTTGCTGCTCCAATCCATACAGCATAAGGCAAGTTCCATGAAACATCTTGAAATAATAAAGGAGGGAATGTAGCATCACGATATTATGGCATCATTAAATATTTAATGTGAATTATCACTATGCTCACGAGCCAAACATGTTTCAGATTGGCTGAAGGCTGTACAATATTAGGAAAAAGAAGGCCCTTTAGCTTGCAGCTGCAGCATTAATTTGGCCCTGTCCACATAAGGAAGATGCATTAATATTTTTAAATTACTAAAACTGTTCACTGTAGAGTTCTCTCCAGCAGCTATTCTTCTCACCTCTAGTATCACTCTATGTGTATACATAAATACAGCCCTACGTAATTTTGCTTACATTGTAATATTTAACACTGTGTAGTATACAGGAATGTATATAAATGTATAGCGTGTTTTAGCTGAGTTAATACTGCTACAGTATGTAATCCATGCATTTCTTGATGCGCAAATTTCTGTGGGCCATAACTGCTAATGCATGTGTTGTACTTCATGTCTCTGTAATAAAAAGCCTTGTATTTAATGCACTCCGCTCCCACTGTCTAAATAATAGAAAATTAGCATTTAGATGCTTACATATGGGATATGACACTTGCATTTCTGTTGGTTCAAGATATAAAAGAATTTGTTTTTCTGCTGCTGACAGAGGAATTTTATTGACTTTTTTTGTATGTGGACATGGGTCAAATTCTGTTTCATCACAGCGCTTTGTCAATAGCAAAGTGAGAACTGAAGATACTGCAGACCAGCATGAAGAAAGAGTGTGAAAAGACCCTAACACCGTGGGTGCAAGATTATTCGGTTGGTTCTCTTTTATAACAAATAAATTTTATCAGTCAGTAGGTGCCCCAGCGTTTCACAAAAATAGACCGATATAACCGTTTCCGTTTTCCAAAACAGGCTGAGGCAAAGGGCCTTTCCGCTGCGGAGACTCCACCGCAGGAAGCTCCCTGAAGCCCCCTGGGCAGGCCGCCCTGCAGCCGCAGCTTGCTGCAACTTTCTCCTCCCGCGACTTCTCACTCAGCTCTCGTTACTTCTCGAGCCGCAGGTACGACGGTCACCTGGGCCGAGCGAGGCCGCGGTCCCGGGCGGCTCCTCCCCGCTCCCAACA